TGGTCACAAAAAAAAAAAAAAAAAAAAAAAAAAAAAAAAAAAATTTGCCATGAAGACATATACAGGTGCACAGTCTTTTCTATTTGTATTATTTTCTTGTGATTAATTTTCAGAAGTGTTTCAGAAAATTGGGTCATAGTAGTAAACTAGAATTTGGGACATTCTAGTAAACTAGAATTTGTTTTCTCTCTTGAAATCTGTCTTTTCCTTATAAAATGTGAACTTTTAACCTTTGTCTGTACCTTTAAGTAGAATTATTTCCTTGTAATTCCATAATGTGGATTAGGTCAGGATTTTTGTCTTCTAGAAAGATTGTCTGGATTCACATTCCCAGAGTCCAATAACTTTCTTCAAGCCCTTGGCAATACTGGTTATAGTTACCATCATCGTCATCATCATCATCGTCATCACTAAGCTTTGGCATGTGTATGTGCACACTTGGCAAGGAAAAGAATCTAGAGAAAGAAAAGAAACTCCCATAGGTAGTAGACAAGAGAGAAATTTGTGAATAAGTCAAGAAAAGAAAAAAAAGGAAAATCAGGACAAAGTAGTGTATAATCCAAGAGAGGAAAGAATTTCAAGATTAGCAGAAAAGTGGTATAGTCGGCACTTCTTAGCTATTAAAATATTCACTTTTTGTAGAGTCTGAGTGTTTCTACCCTGCTTTAAAACTAATTGTTTTTAATATATTCCATTTTAGTCATGATGTGTATTTGTTAGGTTATAAACACTCAGAAAAAGAGTGTAATGTACATATTATGACTTTATTTTCTCTTTTTAAATAGCCAGATTATCTTGGTATTTATGAGTGTAGTCTATATTCACTATCTCTAATGTCTATGCATACTTATTTATACTGGCTATTTTATTGCTTGAACAAAATCCCTTTTAATGGAATTTTATGCTCCCAACTGCTATAGACAGACAACCCCCTCCCCGTCTCTGCATGCCTTCCCTCCCTAGCACACACGATGTTGTTTCTGATTGTTAGGAACTGAGGCTAGGCCTTTTGGGAAGATTATGATTTCATAGTCAAAAAGGTTCATTATACCCCTACTATGTAAGGAACTATAATTAGATATGGTGGGGGAATACAGAGATGAGTAACATTTGAAATTTGTCTTTAAAAGGTGTGTAGTCTGGGGCCGGCCCAGAATAAGAATTGGCAAAATACAACCCATGGGCCAAATTTGGCCTACCACCTGTTTTTATAAGTAAAGTTTTATTGGAACACAGTCATGTACATTTAAAAAAATATATTGCCTATGTCTGCTTTCATGCTACAACTTCAGAGTTGAGTAGTTGTGACAGAGATGGTATGGCTTGCAAAGCCTAAAATATCTACTATCTACTGTCTAGCCCTTTACAGAAGAAAATTAGCTGACCTTTGTTCTAGTAGAGTGTACCAGGCAATCTTGGCAGAGTTGATACTTGACCAGAAATCAGGTTGTATGAATTCCGCATGGCAATAATTTTCTCAGGAAACCCTTCACATTTCTTTTGAGTAGCTTGACCTCACACGTGAGAAATACAACTGTAGATGATGTATGTAATGAAAAACATCAAATATCAAAATCTCTAACTAACTAGATAGTTAGAATACATAGTAATTTTTTGGTTAATGTGCTTTTTGAGTTTTTTTTCTACTTTGTTTTCTCTCCTCTTTTCTTGCCCTACCTCTTTCCCCCACCAACCACTTAAGCAGGTTTGAATTCCTCATCAACATCTGTAGCAAATAATCCCCGTTGTGAAGGAGAACTCCACCTTGGAGAGAGAGTGTTGGTTGTAGGCCAGAGAATTGGTACCATTAAGTTCTTTGGGACAACAAACTTTGCTCCAGGTAACTCACTTGCATATTCTTTGTTCAAGAATTGTTTAGAATACAAAATGTTTAACACTGTACATATAAATAAAATTTAATTATTGAGAATTCTTTATTAACAGTCCTTGTGAGTGGTAACAGTGGCACAAAAAATGTAAAACAGTGATAAAAACAGACTTTTTAGTAAGGTTGACTCATCTATACATTTTTCTTGTCAACTATATTTTACATTGTCTAATGTGAAAATTAGTTGTCACTTCGTATAACTTCGTATAATGTATGCTATACGAAGTTATTACGGCATGTTATTTGAACAGAACTCTGCTCATGCCAGTCCTCCATTTCAGAGCCCGAAAAGCACTGCAAATGCGCAGAGGCTCATTCTTTACAGGAGAATTCCAGTTCCTTAGCTGGCCACTGGCCCCCTCTGAGGTTTTACTGTTTATCCCATGTCCCAAAGGTGCTCTATTCCACCCACACTACTCACCATTCTCTGTATCCTTCTTCAAGATTTTCTTTTTGTCTGTCCAGAATTCCCTCAGTTCTTCCTGCCCGTATCTCCCATGTTCTGTGGAAGAAATCTGACCTGTCCCTCAAGACTTGTTTCCGAATGTGATCTTCTTGATGAGGCGTTAATTTACCGTTGTAGCCGCGGTTATTGCCTCCTGCTCCTGTGCTCGTGCTTTTATAAAAACTGTCCTCAAACTTTAGGTATTCATGTTCATGTCTTTTCACCATACGAAATGGAAAAGCCCTCCTTTAGGGCCAGGGCAGTGTCTTGTTCATGTTTGTGATGCTCGGAGTGCCAAGCACAGTTATTTACCCAAAGTGCTTCATAAGTGAGTAGAATTGCAGTGGATGCCTGGCAGGATTTAAAATTGGGTGTAGTCCATTAGATTTATTATTTAAATAGCTTGGCTCTGTACAATTGAAACAGAAGTCTTAATAAGGCAGACTATTACTCAAGAGCTTTTTTTTTCCCCCCCAAGTGGGTTTTTATGGGAGTTGGGTGTGGTAAGAGTGGCTGGTAGTGATTTTCAGAATACAGTATAGAGTTTCTTACTATCTGAACCCTTACTTAAATACTTAAATGAATAGTCGCTATAATGATTTGCAAAAGTTTTTACACCAAATTCAGTGTCTAAATAGAAAATCTGCTATGCAGACACCAGTGAAATCATGTAAGTTGTTTTCAGTCCTAGTGAATGTGCGGCAGCTGTATCTCAGCTCTGACAGGTTTGCCTTACCTGCTAGCATTGTGCAGACATCCTCACTAATGAGTGCAGTAAGTATTAAACAATTAGGCAACTGTGTTTTAAATGTTTTATATTACCTGGAAATCCTTAGTGGATTGTTATATAGGTTTAAAATGTCTTTTAGTGATATTTGGGGAAATTAAGGTTTTCAGATGGGCAGGGCATGCATTCTTTTCTTTCTCCTTTAAATAACAAACTGTTGGTCCCTGCTGTCTGTGAATGCATTATCCAACATGTTTTCAGAAGTGGATAAGATTATATAATGAGATGTGCATGTAATTTAAAGAAAAAAAACCACATTTTTATGTTTAATGTTAAGTTCTCTCTTGCGGAACATGTTCTGTTTCTGTGTCCTAGGACTGATGACGTCAAAAAAAGATAATGCTTCTGAATCACCACTTTCATTGGCTCCTGGTGAAGAATTGAAAACTGTAACAGAGAAAGGTGGTAATGTAATTTATAACTTCTGTTTCTTAAAATACAATTTACTGATGAAACTTTAAAATAATATAGTGGTAAAACAGTCTATGTGGGGGTTAAATTTTAAAGTTGATAAGGGAAAAATAATTATAGTAAAAATTATCCTTGAAAATCCCTTATGTAGCTCATAATAAAGTATATACTTTTTCTGTATAAAATCCTGTATTGTGATTCTATGTACACTTAAATTAGAGAACTACTAAACTAGTCTAAAAGAGGGAATAATTGGGAATTCCATAGTACAGATAGCCTGACATAATGTTTAAGTCACCTTTAGCTATCAAATCATTAGGTGAATTGAGCTTGAATATTCCTGCTTGCCTTCAGTTTTAACTCGGAACATTTTAATATTTAACTTTTTTTTACCTTAAAACATATTAATAGCATTTTTGTTTTATGTATAAATAATATGGAACTCTACTGAGTTATCTAGGGTGAGAGGTGAGTGGTAGTGGTCGTTAGATTAGGTAGTCAATTTACATTAATTGTTGTGATGACACCTCCTATATAAGATTGTGATCTTATAGTGTGAATCCTTAAAATACTGTGTGTGTGTGTGTGCTTGTATTATAAAATCTTTTATGTATAAACCACAGTTTATTTGGATGAAATAAGGCATTTAATTTGACACTAGATAATCCAGAGCTGAGCAAGCTAAATGGAGAGTTTCAGAAGGATTTCCCTGGAAAAGCATCTTATTGGCCCACCTGCTTTCCATACTTTAATATATATTTTTTGTTACCTATTTTAGTTACCCTGCCTGGATCCATCAGCAGCTCCTCCTCTGCATCTTCTTTGGAACACAAGCAGAGCTACCCCAAGAAGTTGAGTGCAGGCAGCAATAGCAAGAAGACAGTGAGCACAAGCTCTTCTCTTTCGTCTAGAGCCAGTGCTGGTATCTATGGCTTTTTCAACCAGGCTTTCTTGGTGTTTTTTATCTTGGTTTGTTTGTAAGTAGATTTGATCTTTTTAAAAGTGTAGAAGGAACCCTTCACTTCAATCAGATTGAACTGTTGCCCTCTTCCCCGCCTCCCCCTGAGCCTTAAGCTAGGTCTCTTCATTTCGCTGCTAGATATAAGACTTTGCATTTATTTTCAGTTAATTTATTCTTAGTGGTTTTGTCCCATCTAAATTTCGTTTCTTGCGTACTAGGTTTTTCACATGGCTTTGTGTCATCTTTATATTTAGAAAGTGTGGTTTCTCTTTTTATTCGAGTCATTGTTTAAAACTCTGGATGAGAGGGTTAGAGGGTCTGCTCTCAGGGTGACAATGACAGCCTGTTTTGATATGGCTTCTTAACTAGCTGTGGATCTTGCATACTCTCAGTCCACATTTCTTCGGTTATGTGTAAGCACACATAAGACACCTTATCAGACTTCTTGTTGAAATCGACATAGATTGTGTCTATTACGGTTCACTTATTTACCTATGTAGTAAAATTGTCCAGAAAGGAAATGAAGCCATTTTGGCATAAATTATTCTTAATGAACCTCATAGTAATTACCAGCTTGTTTTTTAATACTTCTAATACTTGTACTGAACCAATATTTTATTATAGAAAATGTTCATGACAGGATTTTTTTTTTCTCTTTGAAATACTTGCTTTATTGAATGGAGAAAAACCCCCAAACCCTCAACAGTAGCATTCACATAATAAACCTAAAAGTTGGGACCCTGAGAGTAGGAACCTAAAGTTTTGCCTGAAATTGTTTACCTGGAATATTTATTCTCTGAATAGCTACCACTCCCCACACTGCAGCTGATTTCTGTTTACTGCTAGGAGAAACCATGATGCAGCAGTTTATCCTCATTTTATTTACAGTTTAAGGCCCCCTTCGTTTGGTATTTGGACTTATGACATTTACTTGATTTTAAAATTCGTATGTGGGTATGGAATTATCTTTTTTCCTTTTTATAAAAAGTAGTTTTAGTGTGCCTATATATTTACCTTTTTCTTTTTATAAATTTGAGGGTTATGAACAAATAATAGTGAAGATGAAGAGAATTATCAGAGTTAAACAGGATCTTTCCTTCATCAAGAGAAAGAGGGGAGAGAGCGGAGAGTGGGAGATATGTGAGAGAAAGTCCTTGTTTGGATCCCCGGACATTTCCTTAAGAAGTTTTTCTACAATAAATAGATAATCCACTTTTTCTTCTAGATTTGCATTTGAGGGAGATGTGGGCAGTAATAGAAAGTTAGGATAAAGACTTAGAGAAAGAGGAGCAGAAGGAAGGGATTAGGGAAATGGGGGAGGGAGGGCAGGAAGTCTGTGTCCTGGTCTCAGCCTGTGTGTCCCACTGTTGAACTTGCGGTCTTCGGTCCACTGTCTACAGGCAGCATGGGGACAGACCTGAGGATTTCTGGTTACAGGGTCGGGGTTAAAACCTACGTGCACCACCTACTGGCTGTGAACACCATGTCTTTGTTAATTCCTAAGTTTGTATCTTATTTACCATTACAATTTTTATGAAAAGCACTTTGTAAACTATCAAGTGCTATAGAATATTAATTATGAGCGTCTAGGACTTGTTAGTATAATACTTTATCCAGACCTTCCTTCTCTGTGGGTTTACGTTCCTTCATTTGTTGCCATGTTTGCAGGTTCTCCCTTTCTCACAGCATGACTTGTCTCCCATCCCATCCCCTCCTCAGGGTTCCCTAGGTCTTCTCAGACGATAGCTATTCAAATCTCTTTATGTGCGGATGGGACAGGCTCAAGGGCCCACCTCTTTTCTCTCAGCTGTTATGTTTGAACAGCTTTCTATACAGTATTTCTCTAGGATTTCTGATGTTTAATAATGGCCATTTCAGGGCTTAGTTTTGAGTCAAGTTGAGAGGGGAGTGATTTTATTCTTAATAAGGAAATCAATTTGGGGTAATTGGAACCATATAGCAATTTTACCTTCAAATCACATTCCTGTATATATCATTTATAGAGTTCAGGTGAACGACTATAATTCTAGCATTTTACCAGAATAAGAATTGGCAAAATACAACCCATGGGCCAAATTTGGCCTACCACCTGTTTTTATAAGTAAAGTTTTATTGGAACACAGTCATGTACATTTAAAAAAATATATTGCCTATGTCTGCTTTCATGCTACAACTTCAGAGTTGAGTAGTTGTGACAGAGATGGTATGGCTTGCAAAGCCTAAAATATCTACTATCTACTGTCTAGCCCTTTACAGAAGAAAATTAGCTGACCTTTGTTCTAGTAGAGTGTACCAGGCAATCTTGGCAGAGTTGATACTTGACCAGAAATCAGGTTGTATGAATTCCGCATGGCAATAATTTTCTCAGGAAACCCTTCACATTTCTTTTGAGTAGCTTGACCTCACACGTGAGAAATACAACTGTAGATGATGTATGTAATGAAAAACATCAAATATCAAAATCTCTAACTAGATAGTTAGAATACATAGTAATTTTTTGGTTAATGTGCTTTTTGAGTTTTTTTTCTACTTTGTTTTCTCTCCTCTTTTCTTGCCCTACCTCTTTCCCCCACCAACCACTTAAGCAGGTTTGAATTCCTCATCAACATCTGTAGCAAATAATCCCCGTTGTGAAGGAGACTAGATAGTTAGAATACATAGTAATTTTTTGGTTAATGTGCTTTTTGAGTTTTTTTTCTACTTTGTTTTCTCTTCTCTTTTCTTGCCCTACCTCTTTCCCCCACCAATCACTTAAGCAGGTTTGAATTCCTCATCAACATCTGTAGCAAATAATCCCCGTTGTGAAGGAGAACTCCACCTTGGAGAGAGAGTGTTGGTTGTAGGCCAGAGAATTGGTACCATTAAGTTCTTTGGGACAACAAACTTTGCTCCAGGTAACTCACTTGCATATTCTTTGTTCAAGAATTGTTTAGAATACAAAATGTTTAACACTGTACATATAAATAAAATTTAATTATTGAGAATTCTTTATTAACAGTCCTTGTGAGTGGTAACAGTGGCACAAAAAATGTAAAACAGTGATAAAAACAGACTTTTTAGTAAGGTTGACTCATCTATACATTTTTCTAGTCAACTATATTTTACATTGTCTAATGTGAAAATTAGTTGTCACTCTACAATTTTATTCCTACTGATTTCCAAATGTGCTTAATGGCAGGAAAAATATTTTAAGATTAGGCTTATGCCAAGGATGATCTTTAAAATGAGTAGGCAATGAGTTAACTGTATAGCTTTTATCAGAGTGGCTTGGAGAGAAAAGCAAGCAAAAGGGTTAAAAGGAAAATGAAAAAGCTTTTGGATACCCTGGGGACCTTAAAAATACATGTTTGTGTATTACATATTCATTCCAATCTATACTTAACATTGTGTTTCCAAAAGTTTTTTTTTTTTTTTGCATTTTCAATGATTATAATTTTAAATAGAAGCCAGTTGAATGAAACCATACATATTCATTCCAATCTATACTTAACATTGTGTTTCCAAAAGTTTTTTTTTTTTTGCATTTTCAATGATTATAATTTTAAATAGAAGCCAGTTGAATGAAACCATGTTTGTATGTCTTAAATAGCAATATGCTATTTTAACACATGGTGGCATTGCAACATTCTAGGAAAAGGTTACCTAAAACTGATTTTTTATCAGCACCGCACTCTCCCGAGTGAGCCACGGGCCGGCCCCTCTAAAACTGATTTTTTAAAAAGTTTGTAGCATTCTGTCAATAACTTTGAAAGATACAAGATTTTACCCTATTTGAAAACTACCAAATTAGCCTGTAGATGTTGGTGGAAGATACAAGAATTCTGGGTCAGAGACAAAGGACTTCAGTACTCACAGTAATAGCAGTAGCCAGAGTAGCGGCATTTTCTGCACTGTTGCCTGAGCCTTACTAGGTGATACCTGTGCTCCCAGGGGTTTATGTACCGGGATAAGAACCTGACCATAAGGACTCTGAACCTTTGTTTTGTACTTATTGCTCCACATGCCTGTCTTTTGCTCTGGAGAGAGACTGTCTTCCAAGGCTTCTATACAGATATCCATGAAAGATCATCTGGAACAAAGGCAGTCAATGCTCAATTGCACAAAGATGCAGAGACATGAGAGAAGCACGGCGAATTGTCTCCTAACACATTCTTGTTTCATCAATACCACTTTTAATTGCGAGTCACTGATTGATTTGAGATGAGTTATGTTTTATATTTGTGACTCTCTTAGGTCTCCAGGTAGTAACTGAGATTAGTTAGGATGTACTTAACATAGTTCTCAAATAAAAACAGGAATCCCACAAGTAGGTTATTTTTCAGTCACCATATGCCTTTTGAGTTTACCTCTGGATTATATTAAACAAGGCTAAAATAGTTTGATTCTTTGGATAAAATTCATCATTTTACGTTGGCTTTTAATTTTTAAATCCATAATGTAAAACATTTAGAAATTTGGGAATTAATAAGAGAATAAAATAAATGTTGGAAACTTTTCTGTTAAAATCATTCTGTCCTTTAAGGAAGGATAGCATGTATATCATGTGCCATCAGAATTTAGACTAATCATTTCTACAGAATATTGGTAGTATCTAGCCTTTTTATAGATTTTAAGATCTAGACCTGAGAGAGGTCATGTTTAGCCTCTTTTTATCAGTGCCACCTTGGAAAGAAAATTAACATTTAAATGGGAAGCTATCCATAACATACTACCACCAGACAATGTGTAGTCGCTATTGTTAACCCTTGTCATGATGTTTTTCTGTTGTATGTTACGCATTATCAAGAGTTACATGGTAACGTAGCAATTATATGGTAAAGTGGCAAATGTAAAAATTACATAGGAAAGCATCAAAGGCAGAAGGAAGTAAAACTTGGAAAAATGTAACTATGGAACTCAGAGGAATAACAGTGGCAACCAGACTGACCTGGTTTAGGACATTCAGAAACATGATGACCTATTTTCAGAGCGTTAGTATGGCTAAACAGTCGGTTTGTAGATGTTACTTATATCACGTGGAAAGACTATGTAAGTATAAAAGACAATGGTTGTACATTAGTTTTTCAACCCAAATCCAAATATCTGGAATGGGCATATGTGTCTTTTTGAGCATAAGAGGAAAAAAGTAGGGACTTCTTCTAGGTTGGCTTTTTAAAAATTAGATAATTGTCTCTCTGAACTAGTAATCTGACAATATTTTTTTATTTTGTAATTTACAATGTTTCTTGGTATCTTTGTATTTATATTTTATTTGATACTGATTTAAGAGACCAAATACAATTACTACTGTATTCACCTTTTGGATCACAAATGTATGTACTATTGAGCACTTTTAACTGCTCTTAATGCACCCTCAGTTTGAGAATTCTTGCTCTAGCAGTGTGTGTCCGTTTCCCTTATATTAGGTGGAACCATGCTAAAAGCCACCTTGCTACTTTAATTTTAGGCTGTCTAGAAAATAAAATCCTATTACTTTCCTCAGTGGGCCCCTTTAAATACTAAAAGTCTTTTAGAAACTTCTTCCAATTAGCTAAAAATGATTTGCTTTTTCATCTTGGGTTGGGGGGTGTGGTGGAAGAAAAAGCAGAGTCACCGTGATGTCTGATGGTATTTTCCATATTATTTTTGTCTGTCTTTAATTATTTAAGAACTGTGTGTGGTGTTCTAATATTGAGAGAGTAAAATGAAAAGATTGCATGCTTATTTTATGATTTATGCATCTCAGTATTATGCTACACTTTTCTCACTCAAATACTATATTACTAAGTCAAGGACAGTTTCTTACTCATTATAGCTTTTAGATGTATTTTAGTCATACACTACTTGCATAATAGTTAATCCTTGCCAAATCTGTGTTTGTGCATTTTATTTTCCTGCCTTAATGTACTACTCTGCAATTATGCTTGTAAAATGTTTTTCCTGTTCACTTTTAAAATTTTTGAATTTTATTTCATAATTTTATCATTTGAAAGCTTAATTATGATGATCTTCTATCATTTTGGTCATTTGTGAAAATGTTAAACCATCTAGACTTTGGGTTTGTATAATAGCATAATGATTTTGGGTAAAGTGCAGATGATTTTAAAATGCAATATTCATGTTCTAGGATATTGGTATGGTATAGAGCTGGAAAAACCCCATGGCAAGAATGATGGTTCAGTTGGAGGTGTGCAGTATTTTAGTTGTTCTCCAAGATATGGAATATTTGCTCCCCCATCTAGGGTGCAAAGGTGAGAAAAATGTAATTTATGTTTATTCACAGGAACTTTTTAAAATTTGCAGTGGTTTATAGAGACCCTAATTTTATATTAAAGACATGCACTGACTGTAGCTCATGTCCTCTTTCAAGGGGTTAACCAACCACCTTCTTCAGAGAGAAGACTCATGGGAAGCTAAATTTGCTTTGCTGAGGATTTGCAATTTTAAAATCCTCCTTTATTCCTCATTTGCAAACCCTATGAGTATGTGTAGGCTATTAGAAATGGCATTTGCAGCTAAGAACACTGGGAGCAGCAAGCTTAATCTGTCATGCAAACAAAAGTAAAAATGCTCTCTGATTGCTTCAGCCACATCCTAACTACATTAAACTTCCTGCCAGCAGGCACCCCATTCATTCTCCTACAAACCTAATGGAACAAAAATGGCTTTTTCCTCTGATTTCTTTACTTTTCAAAAATAGATAGGCAGTAGAACTTTGGGGGAAGTGAAGCTTCATGGATTTTTATGTAATATACCTCCTCTGTCTTTCTTCTGAAGATAGTACACTTTCATAGTGCCTCACTCTGGTTTTAAAAAATAAGTTGAGCAGAAACAAGTTCTCATGAAATTCCAGGTACCGTTATATTATGTGAAATGACTTCTTTTATGCTGCTAAAGAAGTTGGCTTGTTATGCTTTTCAGTGGGTGGGAAATGGGATAGTAATCTTCAAATAAAAGATAACATATGGCATAGTCATATTCATGAAACTAGAACTCCAATGGCAACCTGCGAATCTCCTCGTTTCCTTACACCTAGACTGTGTGGCTTCCTCCTGGCAAATTTAAGTTTTTATGTCCATTTTCTTTCTCAGTTTATTTTCAAACTGAATAATGACATATAATTATGGTATTAATATCCCTTTTCTATGATGTACTTGGTAAAATTATTTTCTTATTTTTGATATAATTTAACATACTGTGCTTCGTAGTTTATAAAGTATCTTCACTTAAACGTTATTTGTTTCATTTGATCCGAATAAGTATTTGTTCAGGTAAGCTGGAAAATAACGATAACTATTACAAAGCCTTTATTGGGCATTTAATAAGTGGCAGGCTCTGAATGGTATACTTTAGATGCATATCTCATCAATTCCCTGCAAGCCCAGGGAACTATAAGGTATTATGATCCTACTCATTTTGCAGGTGAAGATACCTGTTTCCAAGGATAAATTAACTTAGCTGAAGTCATATAGCTAATTAATAGTAGAGCTGGCTTCAGCCCAGTTTTGTTATTTTGTTGTTATTGTTTCTTAAGCCTTTGCTTTTAGACAGTTTGCTCTTTTTTTTTTTTTTTTCTTTCTGGTAATCATTTTGTAAAGGAAGAAAGGGAGGTAATAGCTGTGCATAGCCCTTAGATCTGCTGGTCTTGTAATCATTTTGTAAAGGAAGAAAGGGAGGTAATAGCTGTGCATAGCCCTTAGATCTGCTGGGCACTGTTTCCAATGCTCTCCATGTAGTTACTCGTTTATTCCTCTACAGAAACCCTTGGGCCAGGCTCTGTAATTATCCGTGTTCACAGAAGAGACAAGTAAAGTATCCGTGTTCACAGAAGAGACAAGTAAAGTGCAGGGATGTGAAGTGAGCTGTGCTCCCAAGTAGGGGATTTGAGTGCATGTAGTCCAGTATCAGAATGTGTGCTCTTAACCTTAATCCTATAATGGTTAAAAGAGTTTCAGTGACTTTCTTCAGGACTCATAGCTTGTAACTGATTGATCTGGTAGTAAAATTCATGCTGAGTCACCAGTCAGTCTTCTGTGATCTCATGCTGCTTTGGGTATATCTTCATCAGCACGGTGCTACGGTCTCTTCGAAGTTTTATTTGTCTCCCAGTCATGAGGGCTAGGATTCTTCTTTTCATTTTTGATCACCCAGAGTGCATAGTTTGGCATATTTTATATACAGTAAATACTGATCAAATCTGATTCCTTGTTTAGTGCTTTTTAATGTAGCAGCTTTTTCTCCTCCTTTACATTACATTGTGAAGCCACCTTCTTTCTCATGGTTTCATTTTTTTTCCTCACTTTGTTTATGGAGCAAACGTTTTTTACTTTGTTTTTTGCTTTCCTTCTATTTGGTCTTCTTTAAGGTGGTACATTTAAAAGTAGCCCCCCTGGGGCCGGCCCGGTGGCGCACTGCTACAGTGCGCCGCTTGGGAGCGCGGCTGCACTCCCGCCGAGGGTTCGGATCCCACATACAGACCGGCCGCTCACTGGCTGAGTGAGGTGCGGGAGCAACACCGAGGGTTGCGATCCCGTTGCCGGTCCTGGTCCGGTACGGGCGCGACACTGAGGGTTGC